CAGACAGGGCAATGAGGTCTTCCCCACGTTACAGGAGTTAGCTATTAAATTGTTTCAAGCCTTCTCAAGGAAGCACACTTAGAAAGAGGGAGGTAGCTACACAATTTGGGAAGAAGAGAGCTGGAGTGAGGTTAAAGCTCACCACAGCACCATCATTTGATGTACTTTTCACACTAAAAACTCCTTTCATTCTCATAAACACCTCTTTAGCAGATCACCATTCGTGCAGGAGTACTAACAGCAGCACAAATTACCCAGGAGTTGTAGTAGACATCACAACAGACATTTCTCCGTATTTCAAGTGTGTGCATGCAAGCATTTAAGCACCTTTGAGCATAAAAAAATAAGTAGATTTATTTTCAAATGCTCCAGAGCTGATAATTACTGGAGCCAGGCCAGACAGCCAGAAGCTGTATTCAGAGCACTGTGAAAAGTCCTCAATGCAAACATTCCTGGGCTTTTGTTCTATTTGCAATCCTTGTTAGCCTGACCAACGAGCAAACCTCAAACATCTCAGTCTACAGGTAAGAAGTACTTACAACTCTACAAATCAGACTATACCTCAGACCTGTGTCCAAACATGTTCAGCATAATTACAGTTGACCTCTTCTCCATTTTTATTTTGTAAATACAGACTTTCCACTATTTTTATACTTTTTCAGTATAAACTGCAGAATACTAAATAGAAATTCAGGTCATGGAGAGTTTGACACAAATTGAAGGCCTCTATCAAACTCATTCATGTCAAGTCCATCAACCAAGTCATAATCTAGTAGACACAAGGTGTCACTCATTCCTGTTGAGAAATTTTTAAAATTGGATATATTATGGGAAAGCAAGACATTGCTCTTTTCTTATGCACTTGAGCTAAGTGCCAGCCATGCAGGTGTGCGAAACCTCCGCGGGACCGATTCCAACAGTCAGTGTCTTCACTCTCCCTTATATTTTGCAGTCAGCTTTCACACTGTAAGAGCTGTAGTTTAGATACGCAGGTGGGGTAAAGCTTCCAAAGATGCTAATAGTGTTCAATCAGGTTCCAAATTTTGTGAAGCATTCCTGTTAGACATTTCTTGCAACATTTACCTGCTCCACAAATGGGTTATCGGATGTCCACATGCTATTAGATCTCAGCCAGAACACCAAGAACAGCTATTGCAGAATTAAGTTTTAAAAAGGAAGATACCAAATACCACTTACGTTCATTTCAGAAAGTTTATTGCACCAAATGCCGCAAAGAAATAGACCAAAATGATAACGTACATAAACAACTATAAGGAAAAAAAACCATGTAGTTTGACATAGGTATTCAGTCATTCCTAAAAAAGCCTATGCTCTCCAAACATGCAATAGCAACACACTTTTTTTTCTATTATGGAAAACCTGGTATGTATAACAAATTAGCCCATTTGACCTCAAAAACAAATGTCTAGAGTATATTCAGCAGTTCAGACTTCATTTTGATTTGGGTCCTTTCAACTGAAGTAGAAGTTTTACTTGAGGGATAAGTGATCATTTAGTGTCAACTTTCTATACAAGAGTTCAGTGTGGCTGAAAAGGATCTTTGACTTTAAGAAAAAAGATGCATAGAGTGGGGAGCGGAAGAGATCAATCTAACTCTGGAGGATGCCACCAGAAATGTGAATTACAGAATTTGTGTCTATTCGTTTCTCTTGGGCAGAAGAAATTTGTATATGTTAGTTCAGAGAGTACCTAATTAAATCAAAATGCTTAGATCTTGGTATTGTTTGCGGTTAAAGAATTCATTGAGTTTAAATACTACAATTTAGCAGTTCATTCCTCGCCTCTGTGTATGAAGGTTTAGTCTTGCCTGAAAAAAGCACACATTCTTTAAATTGCACTGTGTAAACTGAATTTATGTGGGATTTTGGAAAGACTGTGCACTCCCACTTAACCAAGAAAGTATGTATTTAAGTTTACAAAAACCTACATAATACTGATAAAAACAACTTTGGAATATTTGAAAATTAAGCTACATTATCAATTTTAAACACATCTATACATTCATATCACTTTTCATCCTATTAAAATAAAACCAGAAACATGCCCTAAAGATGTCTAACAACACATCTGTAAATACTTACTGCCCTGTCATGCCACGCTAATTCACATAAACAGCAAGATGCTACCAAAAACAAGTTAAAGACTTAGAGTCAAAAAAAGCCCTAGAAGGTGGAATCCTGTCAACTGAGGTAGTACATTTGGTGGAGGGGAAAATATGTATTTAACTTTCTTTAGTCTAAAGCCTTTTAAAGGTAATAAACAGCTTCCATTTTGGATTTTCTTTTCCCCAAAACTAAAAACTGTGAGAAAGAGATAGTTCATCATGTAATTTCTGAAGAGCAGCAAAATGTTAGAGAAAGCAGCAAGAATTATAAAGTTTTAGCCTGGGCTGAAGAAAATCCAAGTGCTTTTGACCATCAGCTCACGTGCCACCCCCTAGGTTAATCTGATGTCTTGCAAAAAGGCAGGTTTTTTTTTTTAATTTTAAATAGTTGATGTAGTAAAAATCAGGTGTTACTGATCATGGTATTAGTCTTGAAATCACTGAATGTTGGCTGACCTTTGACTTCCTTAGTACACTCTATGACAACAAAAGCACATATTTCTACATTAGCACATATTTCTTTGAAGAATTGCCAGAGTCTGTTCAGATAAAAACCCAACTAATACTTTAAGAGAACTGGAATTGACTTTAAATGAACTCAGCTACTATTTAAGAGTGACATGAAATAGAGAAAGTACATGAGGATATCTATATACACTCAGGGAAGCAGTTTCGTCATCTTACGCATGCACACGCACACATTCTCCATCACAGGGGCAGTTCAGGGATATGTGACTTGCTCTGTGGTTCTTACTTTGTCTTAACCTTGCGGAATAGAGAGTGATACCTGCTAACAGCTATACGCGGAGGTAACTTTACTTCCCAGCAGATAGACAGATTCACAGACCAAAGATATGAAAAGTTTGCTTAACTATAAGTAGTAGGAGAAAACCTGGACCATAGAAAGGTTTTAGCCTTTTTAGGTAGAACACTAGGGAAAAGTATGAAAATACGATAAAAGAAACATCTGGAATGTCAGGTCAGAAACTCAGCACATAAGGAATAGCTTTAGAAGCGCTGTATCAGAATATTAAGTATCCCTCCACTTGGAAACAACTTCTCTTCACAGTACGTCAGTCTACCTATTTCCCTCAAAAAGCAACACAAGGTTAACCAAGACCCCCCATCACATTTAAACAACTCACAATATACACATTTCATTATTTCAAATCATTGGAAATTTACTGTAGAAAAGTCCAAACATCAAGGTAGTAGGAAATAAAACCACTTTTAATAAAAGTGTGTCCCTTCAGTGTTAAAAATTTGTAATCACCAACAAGGAGAACTCACAACCAGTGACCAGGAGTTTCTTATTACAATTCACTATTCCCAAGCAATTGTATTGCTAGCAATTTGCTTGCAAGCTGACTATTTCAGACACCTCATTCATGCTGGCTCACAACAGAAGGGTCCAACATCCAACACTGAATTTTCCATTTCTTTAAGAATATTTGTTTTGATCCTTTGTTCTCTCCTCAGTCTGGTCCATAGCTTCATATCCAGCTTAACAGTGTTTTATGCAAAAAAAGTAATTTTTTTTTTACATTCATGTTATCAACCACATGAAAGCAGTAAAATACAAAATTTTATTTTGCTTTCTAGAAACACAGAAGGCCAGTATCAACTAGTGGAGAAGTAGTTTCCGGTCTCAGAGTAGTTAACCTACTAAGGAAAGGCACCCAGATGATAGTTCAAGATCTCTGTAGAATCAAAAAGGGTAATTGCAAACATTCATAGAAATATCAAATATTGGGGTTTGCCCCCCACATTTCTTTTTACTTCAAACAATGCTTCTCTTATTCCTACTTTGAGTGACAACTAGTAGCTGGAAAAAAGTAATACTTTTGACTACAGGTTTGGTGGGGGGTTGGTTTGTTTTCTTCTGTTTCCCCAACAAGATTGTCTTCGGTTTGTGCCAATTGCTTGGTGTAGGTGCACACAGGCACGCACACTAACAGCACTGGTATCATACAGAAGTCTGTCAAATTCATACTCCTTGGAGATAGTAACACTTGACAACACCAAGACACAGGCTTAGTTCCCAGGCCTACAGCCATACAGAAACTCAAGAGAGTTATAAAAGTTGCATCAGCAACACATGTAAACTTGTAGCAGAAATTCCATAAGGCTTTCCCACAAAATCCCTATCTCAGAAGTCCATTCAATTCCACTTCTAGCCATGGGCTTATTTGAATGCCTCCTCATTAAAAACAGAAGCAGCCACAGCTTGCTTAACCACTTGTCCTTAAAGGGAAAAGTCAGATCACCTCATGCACACCTCCATTCCCACATAACATTCGGCTGCTGAATCCAGGTTCCTTGTTCTGAGCCCGTCACTTCTACTATACGAAGCCATGTGTGTGCTCTGCAAGAAAATTATGATGTCCCATCTAACACACTTGTGTATAGGAATGCTATATACATAGTTTACAGCTCCTCCTCCTCCTCCCCAGCAAAGAAACATACACCACACCACACTCACAAGCGTAGTATTATGAAATCCATTCTAACCCACTTGTTCTGTTAACGGTTACTTCATGGTTTTGAGCAGCGTTTCAGATGGCAGCTCCTGGTCTGCCACATAGTGTTAACTTCTGTCCTCTGAATAAAAACAAAATGCAAGGATGCAGTCACTTTCTTGAATTAAGTCAGAAGTGAGATTGTAAGAAAAACCTGAATGCCTTTTACGTTATGTAAACTGAAGTCCTCCGATAAAACATCCAGCTGAAATCAGAATCCGAAGGTAGTAGAATGTACAGTCATCACCTGCTTTCCTCAGTGTTCCCTTTACCAGTGTTTGGCACCTCTATTCTTCATTCAACATTCCCATTTTCTTTATTTTACTTTAAGGGAATGACTATCCTGAGATTTTAACTTATAAGAGTATTTGAGCAACATAGGGGGAATGAGTACTTGCTATAGCAGCCAACAAAGGCAAGTCATTGGATTCAATCCTAGAAATCAAAAAGAGAGACAGACTTTAAAATACACAGTCACCTTCACAGAAGAAGAGAAACACAAGAAGATATTTTTCATCCACTTTAAAGAAACTGGAAGTGTCTTGCTATAACAGAGTTCATAGTTTAATTATTATTTATTGCCATTACTCATAACATACCAGTAAAGATAGGTAATAATGTTTAAAACCAAGAAGTATGCTACCATTTAAGTCAAAAGATAGCAGTATTACATTTTGTGGTATATAAGCTTTTGTGGCTTAAATAAAATCTTTTATTTATTTGCTAAACCATAAGCCTTAGCTTGTAGTCCTAGCAGTCAAGAGGCACCAATAAGCCCAGTTTAACAAAGTATTAAACATCAGCTTATGGAAGACTGTGCATTTAAATGTTTTTAATATAACTCAGTTCACCATCTAGTCGTACTGTCTTCCCAAAAATAACCAAAAGCTGGAATTATTAATTATTATGCAATAACTGTATCAGGAATGTCTCAAATGCAATGGTGAGTTTCCAAAATTTCACAGAATCACAGAATGGCAGGAAGGGACCTCTGTGGGTCACCTAGTCCAACCCCCCTGCCGAAGCAGGGTCACCTACAGCAGGTTGCACAGGACCACGTCTAGGCGGGTTTTGAGTATCGCCAGAGAAAGACACTCCTCAACCCCTCTGGGCAGCCTGTCCCAAAGGTAAAGCTGCTCAGAGGCCAGGACGTATGTATACATTGATATATATTTATACACATACACACACACTGAGAAAAGTGCTTATTTCAGGATTTCACTGTTTACAGCTACATTTCTCAGTATGAAATCTTGAACAGTCTGGATAAATTAGGTTGTACCTACAGTGCTAAAAAACACCTTCTTGGGAATGTGCATTCACTTCTTCCCCCCTCCCCCTCTTCTGCTGTCAGCAGGTGCACCCCTAAAGGCTGCATGCCAATCAAGTATTATTATTAGACACCAGCTGCCAAACAGGACACCTGTCTCTCTTCCTACACCTGTTTTTTGAGAACCCCTCTTCCCTCACCATACAACTGCACCACCTAACCTTCCAAGAATTCTCAACTATTTGTTGCGATGAAGTTTTCATTAAGGAGACTGAGACAGAAAGAGTGAAAAAAAAATGTGTATGACTGCGTGGATAATGTCCTAATGACCAAAATCCAAACTTTCTTCATTCGGAAGATTTAAGAACGACAAGTAGTTTATTCTTTCTGTACAACTGTGTCTCCTCCTGATTTTCAGATGGTTCAATAGAACCCATCTTTACACTTTATTAGGCACACGAAAGAGGACAGTGCTAAATATGAAGAGGCAAATGCTGGTGAAACTGAAAAGGAAAATAACTGCCTCAAGTTTGGCCATTGGTTAAGACCGATACCTGCAATACTCACCCCAATACAATTCCTAGTTCTTTCACATGCACTCGTGTATGTCCTCGCAGATATTCTGAAAGCATTTTGCTTTTGAGATACATCTCTTGTAGTCTATCCTCAAGATGCATTATGCACTGTAAACACAGACCAAAAACCTCAGAACAGCTTTAGAAATTGCATGCAAATTTTACAGAAGTGTAAGCATATCATTTTAGCTTCTGTTCTAGCTAGAACATCTTTCAAACTAAATCTCCACTCCAAAATGCGTAACAGGCAACTGGTTTTGTTACAGCTGTGCTAGCAACATTAAAAAGTTCCCCTACCCTCTCAAAGGGGAATCCCCTCACAGAATTGGGGCATTTCAGCTTACTTGGGCAGCCAGTTTGTTGCACAGACTGCACATTCATTTTCCACACAAGTCAGCCATAGTGTTTCTGCTGACAAATAGCTCTAACCAGGTTCAAAGACATTCAAGACATCTTACTAAGAATCAAACCAGAATACCTGGATCAAGATGTCGTTGTCACAAGTCAGTACTATTTTTCTGAAAGACTCAGTTTAGACAACAGTTCCTAGAATTAGCACTCTAGCTCTAGGAATCTGCTATTCAAGCAACTAAGACTCAAGAAGTGGAAGACACCATTATCTTCCTTGTCATAAAATGACAGCTTTCATTCACGACTTTACTGTAGAAGCCAGGTTACAAATCCTTTCTAAGCATTTGTTTCTCTTAGTCCTAGACACTTCTAGTTTAAAATTGCTTAAATGTTTGATGCTGTTTGCCAACAAAGGTAATAGTTCAAGCCGAAATAAAAATTTAATCACTCCCCTTTTCTTTCAGCAGTAGCATGCTAGAAATGCCTAGTAGTTTTAAATACAGTCATGAGATGCAGGGTAATTTCTCAGACACCAGCTGCAGGAGAACAGATGAACCTCAGCTTCAGAGACAGAGAGGGGTTTTTTTGATAAGACAAGGTCAGTGGGTAGGACGTCTTCACAAGGTGAGTACGTAGGATGTCTTATCAGGTATTTCGTTCTAGGACAAAAGGTACATTCAATTTGATATGTTCCTTCTTTCCACAGGGATGACTGCTTCAAAGAAGTTAAATTAGTTCAGCTCTCCAAACTCCAGGAGATGAAAGCAGGAAGCACATGCAGAACCTCACATTATCAAATGTACAGTCATCCAGCAGGCGTAGACAGCAATTGGAAACAGTAGCAGCAAATAGCTTCAGGCCATTGTCCAGCACACTTTTCAAGTTGAATGAAAACCATAAGTATTAGAAATGAGATCCTGTGAAACCAGTTCTGCTAATTAAAAAAAATAATGAGAAAAAAAGACTCATGCTTGTAGGTAGCCTACCATGTATTTTTCTGATGGTCTGGAGCAAGATGAAGATTTTTTTTTTATGATTCTCTGAGCTTATATCAGGTCTTAATCATGGAAGATAAAGAAGCATTTTAAAAAACATGCTATATAGTAGTGGAATAAGATCACTGCCACCAATGGAAAAAAGGCAAAAGCTTTTTGAGAGTAGTTTGATCCATTTGCTTGAAGCAAGTTTTCACTCAAGTCATTATAACACTTCTGATTCTAGCTGAAAGGGAAATATCTTTTCCATTACAGCTAACCGTAACGCCAAAAGCCTATGATCACTTCCTCAGTGGTTCAGGGAACATGCAGCTGATTTACAAAGTAGCTGTTCAATAAATCTCAATTCCAGTACTTGTGCTAAAAGATTATGGATTTTTTTTTTTAAAGTTCAGAGGGAGCAAATAAGGAAGAATTCCACATTATTCTAAAACATGGATTCTTTACATTGGATTATCTGCTCCTCCTGAATGCCAGCAAAGAATCAAAAGACATTTATCCCCATAAGTTCAGTACATGAATCCATTTCATTCAAAATGTCCACATTAAGCAAGTTACAGAAGTATTTTTTTTCAGTATTAACTTCCTCTGCATTTCTCATTGACTAAATGGAAAAAAAAAGTCAAGTCACTTCTAAAAATAGAAAAGTAGCTTAAAATGAGTTTAAAGGTGCAGGTAAATCTTCTGACATATTGCTGACATGCAACAGTTGAAATCATCACTTCCCTCTCACCTTGGCATACCGCAAAGCTCTCTGCAGTACGGCTACCAGTCTGAAGTGCCACAACAAAGATATCACCACTTGTCTTTCATCCAATCTCAAGCTGGGTTTTGTTTTTTGTTGTATCACAAAAACCCAAAAAACTTATTCATCTGAACAGTAACTGCATGTAAAGAGACATACACTCCTAATGGAAACATCAACCATACCACATTATCTCTGATCGATATTAGTACATATGTTTTTGTCAAAATTTAAATCAATAGAATCACTACAATAAAAAAGTCACACTTCTCCCCCTAGAGTTTAGTGGAACACTTAACTTCCTGCACCGATGGTTCTGTTTTAGCAAAGAGCTGCAAAATCCACTGACAGAAGCATCAAAGTGTCTCTAACATGGATTACAGAAAATTTACAAACTACTAGCAGTGGCACTTCACTGTTCCTTTTTGTAAGAAAAAGGAAATAAAAAACCCTGAAAAACATTGCACCTCCAAACCTCTCCCACACCACACAAAGCATAAAGAAATTCAATACACAAACCCCAAGGCAACATTGGAACGAACACTTCAGTTGCAGAATCAACTATTCAGTTTTAAAATACCAGAATTTAAGGTGTTACTGTGCAAGTGTTAGGATATAATTTTACCCAAGCTTGTACATATTTTGATGCCCAGAGGAATCCAGAGACAACATTGACAATGTACCCACATATTTTGCCTAGCACTTGACTTCAAGTATTTAGCATAATCAACACCACGAATTTTATCCAAACCAGTGCCAACTAATGCTATTTACAGCTGTTAGTGTTTAGCCCTATCTTCCTCTTCCATCTGCTAGCACAGTCATTGCACAGGCTTCCTACAAAGTTTCTCAAGGCTATCTGCTGAAGGACAAATCAATTCTGTTAACTGAAAAAGGGGCAACTAATAAAAAAAACCCCACCCCATCACCCCTCACCTACAATCGTGCATTAAAAACTGTATTATCATTATCACTGTCAGACTTGTGGGTAATTTTGTTGTAATCAGCAAAACCAGCATTACTGATTTTCTCTGATGAATTCCACTAATAATGAGGGCAGGAAAGGATGCTGCGGGATAGGGAGTATGCAATATGACAAAGTAACATCCCTTGCTGCCACCCACCCAGCCCCAGGTGTTTTCAGGTTTCAGTCTCCTCCCAGTAATCCTACAGAGACATCAGCAAGGCTGAGACAGCACTTGCTGACAGGGTTGACCAAAATACGCATAAAACAGAAGGGTCAAGTAAACACACACAGGCACAGTCACCTGCGGCGGAGAGAGAAGAGGCATGTACTGCATGGGGTTGGATAGAAAGCTCAAGAACAGAAAGCTGTATGCTAGAAACAGGCTTGGGCAGATAGAAGCTTCAACAACTTGAAGAGTACAGAAGTGTGGAAATGACAGAAGTGAAAAAATTAAAGCCAAATTTAAGAGCCCTTAATCATAAACACACGAGGACCATGGTAAAATTGCCTAAACGACTTTAGTTTTGGTGTGTGTATTTTGGAGTAACTAACTTTGATCTATTAGATGTAAACTACAGATAAACCAGTATCTGTTACTGGACTGTGGCAGGCATTCTTTTAAATACGTTGTACCAACTCTGCATTATTTCAGGCATTAGTTCATTGGTACAGCAACATGGTGTACAAAACTCTGCATTTGCTACCTAAGCTAAGCAATTTTCTTTAGCTTCAGTCTTCAGTAAAGAAATACTTACAAAGTCAGCTGGGACGTTGAGTTTGTAAAGCTGTAAAATAGACTGCAATAAACTGGATACTTGACTCGAAACCAAAACATCCTTGCCTATCTTCATATTGTCCATCATCTTCCTCTGGCTTGTAGCTACTTGTACGTTCCATTTATCTGTGTCTGCAATAATGCAGACAGCTTCTGCTATGGGCTCATCTAGCACTGGATGCTGCAACAGATAAACACAGACATTATGAGACACTTTCATATATATTTCCACAATGTAGTTTGAAGTTCCACTTTTATTCACATGTAGGCAGGCAATAAGAAAGTGATCCAATGCATGTTTTTGTCCAATAGGAAGCCAAAGGCATCTCAAAAATTACAAGGAATACCAACTTTAGTGACAGAGTTTACACTCAGCAACATCTGGTCACTTAAGTCTTAACTGCCAATTTGATCAAGGCATTTAATTTTGTTTAAGTAGTGATTCACAATCACTACTCCAATATTTTTTTCTTCAAGTATTCCACCTTCCCTGAAACAGTAAGTTTCTTCCAAAACAAAAAGAGTAACAATTCTACTCATCTAGTGCTTGTGAAAGTACATTTAATATTTTGGAGACGTAAGGGATTTCACTATGCGCAACCAAGGCAGGGTATGTATGAAGAGACAGTATTAGACCAGCTCGATGTTGTTCAAAGAAATTGCATGCACACACATCAGTGTTTTGGGCAGTACATGAACTTATTTCAGCAGGGTGATTCTTAATTGCTATAGGGAGAAGCTGTTGACAATTACTAGATAAACATTTAAAATTGCACACTAAGGTCACAGTTACTTTACTGAAAGGTCAGTTACAATTTAATTATATAATTTAGAAGTACCTCAAGTACAGTAAGAACATGGCAAAGTTCTTACCTATAGACAATTGCTTTCTGCGGCCAGTCATTTCTGCTACAATCTAGTACAATATGTCTCCACAAGACTTCCTCTCCCTTGCAACACATGCCACTAAGTGGCAAAGTAAGATGTTTCAACTTGCATACCATTTTTATGAAACAGACAATTCTATCTATTATTGTGACTGAAAAGAGAAGCAGTTTGAGGGTTTTTTCCTTGTTTGTAACTTGAAGTTGCAAACAATTTTCCTTGTGTCTGTCTTTGAAGAGAAGCCTTAAGAGAGTACAAAGGAAAGCACATGGGATCCTTGCGTGAACAGGCTTTGCACACAATGAATTAAGGGCTTACACCTTTCGAAGGAAGACATGTCAGGTGTGGCTGTTAAGAACAGTTAAGTAGAAAGAAACCTATTCAAAGGACCTGCTTCTGTAGATCTCAGTAATATCACGACTCCTACTAGGACTCAGAACAGTATTTTAACTCACATGCATTGCATGAAGTAGGTCTGCTAGTAAACACTGCTTGAGTTTTTCATCATTATTTACTCCATGCAGCACTAGATCAGGTATATATGTATGACAGTAACCACCTAGAAGCGATCTTCCAAAATTTTTCACATATTGGCTGCTGATTGTGTTTGACCTGAAATACAGAAAAACAAAGCAGGTAAGATTTTTGCTTGACAAACTGCATTCAGCTTTTACATGAATGTGAAGTTCGGCTTATCACCCCTGCTTGTACTGCAAATATTAATCAACAATTGTACTCACAATACAGTAAACCAATTACAGGTGCTCTTTGAAAAAAGGATTTTAAAAGCTGAACTTTAATAATGTATTGACTACTTCAAATTTATGAAAAGGCAAATCCACAGGTATTAGAGCTTGTGGTATGTATGAGCTCCTTGTTCTGTAGCTAACAGATTTGCTAAATTTGAGTTTTCTCCAACGCAGCCCAAGAAGCAAACTCTTTCTAGCTACCTATCTTAAGCCTCAGGAAGCTCCGTGTACACCTGTAAAGCTCTAAAGTTTTCAAATAGGATGCTCTTATTTATTTCAAATCTGTCTTTGATTTGTCATACATGTCAGATCTAAACTGTCATCAGTTTAAGTAAAGCTGAAGTTTTGCTTGTCCTCAGACATTCTGTCTACATGCCTACACGAAATGTTTTAGGCAGTTTATATAAAAATGTTTAACCACTTTTTATTAGACATGTGAAGAACACCTATCAGAAAACTTCACTACCTAAATCTGCTCTGTCTTGGTTTTCTTTTTGTGAAGCCTGTTTACAAGAATCCTAACCACATCAGCAGTGTCTGCGACAGATTTGTTTGCAGGGAACTTAGTCAAGATCCCAGAAAATTTCAGACTTGAAACGCTGAACATCTCTAAAGTAGCAACAACTTTTGACTCCACTTCATTCTAAATTAATTTAAATTTCTTTACCTTGGTAAAGGAAGTTCCACTTCTGCAAACTCTTCAAGTCTTTTGCTGACATTGTCATGATGCATTTCGTCAGTGATACAACAATCACCTTCTTCATCACTGGCTCCAAGAGCACTGTCTGAACTCTCGTTCCTTGGAATGTCCCCTTCAAGTCTGAAGGAGATTTTCCTTCCAGCATCCCCACAGGGGACATCTTTAGCACCTACTTTAGGGAACTCCTGTTTGACAGCTTCCATGCAGCCAGGGGAATAGTTCTCCAGATTGCCAGAGCATGAAGTTCTAGTTTCTTTCAAGCCTGGCAATTTTACAGTTTCTATGTTATCTGTGGGCAAAACTGGTTCACCAGATATTGTGTTTGCTAAATTCATTTCAGTTCCTGTGCTTTCCTTGTGTTGGTTAAGTACACTCTCCTTCCCCTCACAAGGAGGGATTTGTGCATAAGAAACATTATGTTTACTGAAGGGTATAAAAGCAGCTTCACAACTTTCTTTTTGATTCTGGGAAGCATCCACAGTTAGATTCGTGGAACTTGAGGCACAGCGTATCACCTCTGGATTTTTTCTGAATGCCTTCAGATTTTCTTCCATTTCTCTTCTATGAGTTTCTAAGTCTGACTCTGGTGACGCAGAACTTCCAATCTGAAAAGTGACCTTTTCTAAGTGTGAACTCCTGTGGCCAGACCTTTCAGGACAAGGTAAGGCAGATGACCTACTAGACAACTGCTTTTCCACCTTTCTCTCATTCTGGTTCTTCTTTATATCCACTAAATCCTCCAGCTGAGATGGCTCTTGAAAATGGTAGGATACAATTCCTGTATCAGTGACAGTTCTTTTCCTACCATCAGCTGCTCCTTTGTGGAAACTGCTAGTTAGACACTCAACAGATACTTCAGGGTTCTGACTGGCCTTTCCTATTGCTTCTCCCTTTTCTTTTGAAGAGGCTGGGACACCATGAGTGCTTTCTGGGTCATGTACCCACTCTTCAATACTATTGTTCTTACTTGCATCATTCTTTGGAGGTAGGACGGGAGGCACAAGAGCAGGTTCATTTTTAAGAGTGACAACCACATAATCAGACTCCTCTACTTCTCCCTTTTCTAGTGCAGTTGTGATCTTGCTTCCATTTAGCACTTGCTCTCCTTCCCCAGCCTTCTCACTCCATGTCAGCTGATTTTCCTGCAGCTCAGAGCACCGAATGAAGTAAGTCAGAACATAGAGCAAGCGCTGCACCAACTCCTTGCGTTTTCCAACAATAACAGTTCGAGTCATTCTAACTGGAGAGCCTATGGCACCATAGAGATCACCTATATGGGAAAACAAGATTTTCACATGCTTGTGTTTGGTTGTAATAGAAGCTCTACCTTTTAAATTCAACACATTTTGAAACAGAGTTTGCTATGGACACAAATCATAGAGTTAATTTCTTTCACAGTAAGTTCATACAAGTTTAAAAGAAAGAATAACAAAAAAAGTCCCCTAGCGCTTCTTGTGCCTGGTTTGTGTCCAGAAGGCTTTTGGTGTTTTTGTGAGGGATTAGCTGCTGTTGCTTGGTTTCTTTCTGTTCAAAGCCACTAAGGTTTTTATTTACATGATGCTTACAAGATATTATCACTCAGAAATTGACACAACAGGGGGTAGACAGATCAAGCTAAACTCTGAAGCCAGTTATACTATTTTCTATTTTTCTACTAATTTTCTTTCACATCAAAGTTATTCTGTTTTATTGCAGTCAACTTTTCTGCTAAACACAGGAATTTTCATACAGATAAAATCTAAACTATATTTTTCAGGACTAAGATATCAAAAAAGCAAAAAAGTATTCAGTATAGGCTTAATAAATAAGGTTCTGAAAAAATGGGCATGTAACCACCTTATTGGGCAAGGCACGAGCACTTCTGTATACTTGGAGTCAACATCACTACCATGAGCATTTATCTTTGGCAGGGGGTGGCAGAGAACTAGAAAATATATTCACTGCTTAAAATATAACTATAATACGAAAGGTAGGTACTACAACATAATCTGAGTCCCCCCAAGAACTGCTTATTTGCTAGCTCATTTATCCTGAAGAACTGCTCTTTTAACAGAACTAAGGTCATACATATCCTACTTTCAACATATTCGTTTGGGAAAGAGGTGCTATCTTCCAGTTGCCTATAATCCTATATCTACTGAAGGGTTTTTACTCCAAAGTTCTGTGAGAAGTAAACATAGATAGCCTATAAGGGAACATTCACATGCTCTATCAGATAAAGATGGGTTAACTCAAGAAACATCTACTACCAGGTTGAGTTAACCCAGCTGCCTTCACCTGACACCCATTAGAGAAGACCCACTAAAAGTCTTTGCTTAACCAAGCTGTGGCTGACACCACCAGCAAATGGGAGACAACCACCAAAATCTCAATTTCCTTTAGTGACCTTCAGTGTTCACCTTCAAAGCAGGCTTCTCTGGCTTGAGGCTTTATCAGCTACCTGCTAATCTACCAGATTGTTTTAGGTGCTAAGTCCTTGCTCAGGGATGCTCAAATGTTCTGGACCAAGTTTGCCACCAGGATTTTGTACTAGACTTCAAGAAGCAACACGAAATGAACGTTATAATCAGAGCTTCATGAAGGTTTCTACCATGGACAAGGGGACCTCTGGTTTCTACATGAGGAGACTAAAACTACTAAAAAGCCCCACCAACCAAAAATAAAAAAAAACACATTTACACTCATCCTCCTCTTTGCCATACAGAACATACAAGGGATTAGGCTCCTGAGTCCAGTCCTACAAAACAAGGATCAATGAGACAGTAATTCCCTTGCTCTCACTTACTGTCTCCCCTGCCAAGAGCTGCCATTTCCCATGATGCCAGCGAATGCACTGGAGAGGCTGCTGTGTGGTGGCATCCATCAGTGTGCTGTTTTGCCCCGGTTAAAAACACCCTTGCAACTAGCCCCGTAGACTAACATGCCAGAAAATTCATTTCTCAGTAGTGGAAAGTGGGCTTCAGACTACTCAGCTGGAAACTAACCTCAGCACCTGATGGGCCACAAGGACTGGTAAGCTGGAAAGGAAATGGGAAGATATCTTTTGACTTTCGACTTGAGCATAGCTGCTATGGAAATCAGATTGAGGCTTCATGTTCATTTGCACAACTGACTTTTATATAAAGCCATTACTAATAAGACTGTACAAAAAGTCAAACTTGTGGTCTTCAAAACATACTAATGCTGACTGTTAAGACAGTTAGATTGAAGCTGATGTTTAAGAGACAGTATTATATCTTCCTGACAGTGGTACTTACAGTTGTATCAGTACGTAATTGTAATTGATACCTAACACATAATGAAAACACAGATATGAAGGTAGAAAGATAGGTACATCAAAATTCTTTCCTTAATAAAAAATAATTTCTATTTTAAAGCACCAAGCCCCATGATATTTTATTCCATGCCCCTCCTTCTTTCTAAAAGAGGAGACCAGCAGAGGGCAACATCTTACTTTCAGTATCAGTTACTGAAACCAACTGATAATGGGTTTTGGGCTTTATAAGAATGAAATAAAACCAGAACACATTTCGAGTTGAGGCACGCAGAACTTGGCTAGGCCAATGCTGGTAGCAACACACAGCCTAAGGAAGGTGAGGAGAGAAACAGAATCTTGACGAGTCACCAGTGGTGGCTCCTGGGAGAGACCACACAAGCTACTGCCGATCTTACGTCTCCAGTCCAGCTGTTTTTTATAACCCCAGGCCTCGCTCTATCCTCAATACCCTGAGCAAGCTTCTATTTGCCCCTTCAAGTCAAATCCATTACTCCTCTGCATAACATTTTAAAGACATACTAAAAACACAGAACACTTCTGCTACAACTACATGGTCAAGGCAGCAATTCTTAGTTTCATAAAGATTACTGAAAATAACATACATAACTGAGACAATTAGTAATAAAAACAACTAGTAGCACAGTGTAAAAGTCACATTATTGCTTTATTGTGCATGTGTGATATTTAACTGATATGATATATTGCCACGTAAAAGTTAAGGCCGATCTGATATCAGACTCACAGCTGCTGCCAAGAGGAGGAAGAATTTTCAAGGATTTACCACTGGCAGCATTATTCTCTCAGCCCTCACTCACCTACTCATTTGACAGCAGTTATTTAATCCCCTGTATCAAGATAACTTATAAGCTATAAAATATTTGTCAGAGAACAGCCTGAGGAGCTGGGTATAGAAAGAAAATCTTGGCCCAAGCCCACTAACATAACTGTGAATGAATGGAGGTACTGCCAGTTGCCAGACTTCTACTCTGTTGTCTTGGTGTCCATCCTAACTCTATGAGAAAATGATAAAAAGAGGTAGCCAGGGCAGTTTCAACTACAAAGGGCCTCCAAGGCCCAGAGAACTCCTGTCAGTCCAGTCTGTTCCCTCTTCTTCCCAAACTGCTCAGATTCATTCACAGCACTTGTACTGCCTTAATACTTCTATACCAAGTTACTTTACCAGGCAGTGTAACAAAGGATGACAACAAGGGCCCAAGGAAAAGAGCAGAGCACTCAGGCTATGCAAACAGGCCTCCAAATGCTCTGCTTAACCAGGCACAAGACATCTGCTGGTAGCTCTGCCCAGCTTGCAGCAAGGCAAATCAGCAGATGTGATCTGGATCACAAGTAGCTCTTAGATTAAGAGGAGTGGATGCAGGAAGGTGCTAGTTACAGAGAAGTCTGAAGCTTTCCATCTCCTACTGACCAAGCTGTGCCCAGAGAGGGTTATATGGATGGGATTTTGCCAGCATGTTCACAGACTGCGATGTGCGCTTCTCAGAGAAGGCCTTTATGGGAGGATGGTCAACCGGCATTACTGTTGGGACCCAAGCCAGATGATATGTCAGCACTGCAGTTAACAAAGCAGCAAAGAACCTAGGAAAGAGAACACCATCAAAGTAACATCAGCAAAAGAATATCCCATTAAGTGCTGTAACATATCTACATGCACTGGGAAGCACACAAACTATTTTTAAGAAAAAGGGGGTGGGGAAAGCTTACTGATTTTTGTTGATCTGTTCTATTAGAAACGTAAATTCTTTAAGAAAACGCTGGCATAGCTGATTCTTTTCAAGGGTGCTGGACATCATATTAAGCCACACAGGCTCTGCAATCCTTGGAACAGAATATAAGTTCCAGATGGTAACTCTGCTCAAAGAAAATTCCCCAAAAGTAAGCATTAATATGCACATTTCATTCTGGCAAACACAAGTAGCCCCTTTCCTCTTCTATTGTCCATTGAATTTTATTTATTTCTTTTTTGTGATATCTAGGAGACTAAACAAACTGGAAGAGTTTTTCAGACACGCTAATTACAAGTGTCCCAGAACACCAGTCTGTTTAATTCAGCGTACCAGTAACTTAGTGTCTTCATATGAATTACATATTAGTCTTTCCTTTCTTGCATTCCCCTGTGTATTTGTACGCAGAGAAATGATTCAGAAATAATTGAGGGGGGATAGAACCCATTCTATTCATTGCAGTGATTCAATTCCACATTCCAGACATTACAGAAACTCCATCCCACGGAAGCCTCGTCTCTCTCTCTCCTGGGCTGTCTGTCTTGGCCTCTGGCCATTCCTTCCTTTCTTAGGTACTAAAAAGAAAGCCTTGGGCAGCAACGTTATTGACATTTACGCTGTTCAGCGTCTATGGCTAGGAGTAGACAACTCATCTGCCTGAATACAACAATCAATCCATTCCTCTGCACACGCATCAGCAGAAACCAACTATTAATGAGATCTTAAAGACTTTAACTGACAGTCCCATGTACAGGTGAGTGCAACAGAACTACTTTTACTCTCACTCTGAAAATGACTGAGCTGGTTTTGCTAAAGCTTTCTAAAAACATTTACCCAATACCCAACACAGAAAATTCATTTACACTAAATTCAAGACTGGCTAAATTACAAGGCCCTGCACTCAGCTGCCTTAACAGGAAATGACAAATATCTTTAGAGGGGCATGGCAAGAGCTGTCCTTGCAATTCAGAATTCCATCAACTCACCTGAATTCTCCCAGGGCATCCATGACACGGCTGATATAAACCTGCACTCTTTGGCTGGATTCTGCTATTTTTCTACATGAGATCATGGCCTTGATTAAGAGTTAAAGACACAAAACAGCTTCTTAAAGGATTCACATTCTTCATCTTTTTAAGCTTCATTAACACGTCAAAATAATTAAGATCTAGCCCCAGTGCTATACAGTCTCTCAGGACAGCAACACCTGCCAACCTCCCTCCACCTCATGAAAGACCAGTCCCTAAGACTGGACATGGTAAGAGAACACTTTTGACAGTAAGGGGAAGACAGCAACAAACATTTTGTGTCTCTCTGTGACTGCATGAAAGGATAGAATACCATCATTTCCACAGTCTTGAGGGAGTCAAGAAAACCTCGTAGCAAAATATGGTGAAAAGGAAAGAAAAAGAAAAAAACATCCATAGCATAAAACTCTCCATTCTCATTCTAACTAGAAAAGAAACTGCATCTCTTTTTCAGCAAATGCTGAATTCCTACACTGGGCTCAGCCTCAAGACTACATGTGTAAGGAGGGAGGGAAGCTCGAAACCACGCACCTTCTCCCACTCTCCATCTATCAAATTCTAGAATACTTCATTCTTATTGACACATCTTTCCACATTATGCCAAACTAGTATTCTGTACCTTTTCTATTGCATATTTCAGCTTGTTCATGTGAGATTCAAAAAGAGGAAAGTGAGAGAAAAAGAAATCCTGGAAGTTTTTCTGTGCTGCTTCTTTTTCAGGCAGAGAAAAGATTATGCTGATTGCAATTTTCTTCCTCCGAACCATCGCAGGATTGGAGCTGCAGCTTTCATCAGCCATACTAAACATTTCTTCAGTAGACCTGTAAGACAGATTTGTTAGGACAGTTACCTATGCGTCGAGAGGCAAATCATCTTCTATCCATATCTCCCTATATAGTAGAAAGTAATTCATTCTTAGGTCTCCTTTGAGACCTACATAAGAATTTGCTGTCGTTTGTCTCTGAACAGAGGATATTCAACATTTTGATGAATACGACTGATGTTCACCCAGACAGGAGTAAGGCAACCGCCAAAGAGGCCAGCTCCTGAAGTGAACACTTTCTTCTGAAACAGAGCTACTACAAAACCCCTCCTTTTGGACTTTTCTTTAAGAGAGATAAAGAAAAGGGAATGAAGACACAATGTACAAAACCATTAGCAAAAAAGGTTGAAGGTATTCAGAGCTGTGAACTGCATCCAGCACTCCAGCTCCTGCCTAGGTGCTCAGCAGTATGTCTATGACACTCTTCAATCTGTACTGCTGCTTATGAGGGAAGTTGGGAAATGTGCTACCTATAGTGTTCCAGCATCTTAAGATAGATGTTTTAAGGAACTTCAGCACGCAAAATAAAACTTTCTATTTTAACTGAAGAAAAAATGTCACCGCTTAGTAATTACTGTGAAAACACAAACTTAACGCCTACAAACACATGTGTGCCTAGCTCAAAGCTGGATATACTTTAGTTTGAAATGGCTTGTTTTCTGCCAAAAAAAAGCCAAACAGTGGTTATTTTACAACCATTATTATTTCCCCAAGTTCTGTTTATTCACTTGACAGTTCTGCCACATTTTTTTCAACAGTTATGCCACTCTTCAATATCACACACGGGTTGCTACTGGGATCAATACTGCTCAGTATCTTCATTATCAGCCTAACTTGTGGATCGAAACACACCTTCAGTGAGTTTGCAGATGATGCCAAATGGGGGGAAAATGGTCAACACACCAGAGGACACTGTCCAGAGAAGCTGTGGAAACCCCATCCTTGGAGATTTTCAAGACTCAATTAGACAAGTTCCACAACAACCTGATCTAAATTCCAAGCTAGTCCTTTGCACAGGCAACTGATTTGGATGACATCCACAAGTCTCAGCCCAGTGTAAGTTTTTCTGTGATTATGTAAAAGGGTGGCAATCCCCTCACCTTGTTCCTCCATAAATACTTGCATTGCAGTGCTAGATATTGACATTGCTGGATTTACAGAACTACTATTTTTTCTTCCTTTAAGTTTCTTGATCGATTTCACTGAAAAAAGGGCTTTAAAAAGTATATACACCAATGAGTAAAATAGTATGGTCAAAATCTCTTTTGGAAGGGACTTTAATTGAATAATGGCTTTTAATCCACTGAGAAATTACAGTGAGAGAAGGGTAAGAACAGACAAGAGAGCCATTAGAAAGCAAATGGAGACATTCAAAGCAGCAGCTCATATGGAAATAGCTTGGTTTTGGAGTTTCTTTTTAAGTTAAGACTGCAATACCAGTGAGTAGTAATTAAAATCTTGAAGGCTTTTCCTATCGGAATTATCTTGAAATGGAGCCTGTGGCATTTATAGACTACTATGAAGCAATTAAGAAGAGGAAAGTCTGAATGCTAAGCATTCATTCTAAGTTCATTCTAAAAATAAGTGGTTTACAGTTTAATTGGTTTGACAAAGCTAAATATACAAAAGTTTCTCATCATAGAGGTATGAGACCAGGAATACAGGAAAAAACACACACAATAAAACCCCAGCAAGAAACAGCTTGTGGGAAACCAGAGTTCAAGACAAAAACATAACCTCATTTGAACTTCAGGAACTTGCATGCGGAGACAGAAAGTCCCAAGGAAGCTGGGAAAGGATGATCAGTCAGCATCTAAGAAACATCACAAGCTTCTGTACTGCTTACCAGGAACAGAAGTTGAGCAGTTTAGGTCTGTGAGAGAAGCCTTTTCAACAAAGCTGCTAATCTAGCTTGCCTGCCAATTGACTACGTGGAGTTCCAGCTAGACATGTCATTTTCTTTGAGCTATTGGCCTAAAACATCAGGCACAGACACTGCAGAATCTTGGCTGTACAAACTGAAGTATTCAACCAGAAGCCTACTGTTTCCCTAGCAAGTAATCAGACAACAAGCACCTGAAGAGGCTTTTTGGCTTTGAAAGAACCAATTCAAGAGTAGTTCTAGATAGTGGAAATAATAAGGTCTTATTTCCAGTATCTTTTCCCAGCACACATTCTTCAATGTGGAAGAAACACAACCTACTCCCTACAGAGAACAAGCAGCCCAAAAAGCCTACTTCCCTCTAGACAATTTTTCACTTTCATGACACTTAGAGGAAATTTCTATTTGTGAAACTTTGGCTGCTACTTCAACTGGGTGGAAATTATCTTCTTTACCCTAAATGCTTGAACTTATTTGCATGCACTACTCTCAGCCTTATTTCTTTAGGAAACTACACTAAAAAGTACTTCAAATTACAGAAAGCAAAATGTTTACTAGCTTATTCTCAACAGCAAGCATGATTTAGAAAGCATGACGGCTGCATTAGCACTACTGCACTATTCTTCATGTTAGAAATGATTCGGTAAGAATACCCAAGAAAAAGCTTGAAGTGTTGACACTAAGGAAAGGTGACTTTTCAAAAAGGTTTTGCTTTTGTTTTTCACTGACCACATATTTTCACTGGCAGCTTTTAAGCTTCTCTTAACTGCAAACAGTGAAGAGGGAGAGAGGCCAAACAGTAGGAAATTCTTGCAGCTCTCCACTAATTCCATGCTGTCTCTGGGTGCAGGTGGATGAGCAGATAATCAAGAACCATTTACTGTTTCGCAACTGACAAAGGAAGAATTTGCTTATTAGCTATGAAAGGTCTGCTGCATTCCATGCTTTGTTATGCCACTGAGCTACAAAAGCTAATAAAATTCCAAAATAGAAGCCAAGCTTTTTGATCACAGCTCTTTTTTTCTTTCCTGTTTTGGCAGAAGTCACATCAGGAACATCCTGTACCAGCCAAGAGAGTTGTCATGGGCTATTACTGCAAATTTCAGTAACTGCTCACTAGTCAGACTTCATCACAGTATAATGTAATTACAGCAGCAGTGCTGTTACAGTCCCTTTCATCTCAATATGATGCTCTGCTCCTTCAGAAACAGTTTAATTTGCTTTTCAGATTGTGACTTCGGACACAGCCCATACATTCAATAAATATAAGTATGCTTCAAACTGGGCCTTGCAGTTCATATTCAGCCAAAACTTGATGTTTCTTCATATTGGCAATCTTACATAACATGCACAGAAGTTAGATTGAATTGAGAGCATTTAATAACAGGATTTGTCATTTTAAAGAAAAGAGGCTTAAACTCTATTTAGCTTAAATTACTGCCAAGCAGCTGTTGTAAGAAGAAAGGTGTTGCACTCACCACCTTGGAATAATTCCATTCTCTAAACTGGTTGTCTGACTTCGGAGCCAGCGACGTTGGTAGCTGCTAGAAGATGATGATGAAGAGCTTGGAGATGGAAAAGGAGTGACCAGAAGACTGCTCAAAGATGCTATTAAGAAAGCAAGAAAACCCACATATACTGCATTACATATCATGATGGTTAAATATTTTTCTTCATATTCCAACTGTGAAAACAATTTGCACAGGTATTGCTCTTGTTTGCTGATTGTTTTCACATAACTCACTTGCAACAGGAGAGACAATTATTTTAAATAAATCTTGCTGCCTGAGGACATTCTTTTCTTATAAAGTCAGAAATCTTCCCTAATGGAACATACTAAAAGTCTTATTCTCATTAAAAGCATTCTGTCCTAAGAGGTGTTACCCTCTCATTACAACAGACAGATCCCCTGGTCTCCTGGCCTCCTTTCCCTGTTCAGTGCAAAAACATCTTCTCTTCCCCTGCTTTAGCAAAGGCTCCAGCCAGTTCTTTCTCCAAATTATATGTTGGTTAAGAACGCAGAAAATAATGGCTGTAAATAGGAATATCATCACAAATGTTCTCACATTAAGGCCTGGGGCAAAAGCAGAAGGAAAACAGCTTAGCAGATCCAAAAACTTTGGATTTACAGGTCATAAGGTGGCTATATATTTCAGGTGAATTACTGCACCAAAGAATTGTAACACAATTACAAAAGTAGGTAAACAAGACAGCAGATACCTGACCGAGCAATGCCACTGTCTCTGTCCTCATTTTGTCCTCTGCTAGGCATATCAACAGGCGTGCTGTGTGCTAAACAAACAGACCAGATCAACAAAAAATATTACATAACTCATCATACTATTTGTCAGCATTTAAAAAAACGTTTACTTTTAAAGGTCATAAAACAGTAAAGTTACATCCTGTACTGTTACTCCAAATAAGCAGCGTGGTGTGAGCAGAAGAGGTGGCAGCAAACTGTACTCCCATACCAACTACCCTGTTACTACAGGAAGCTGGTTATTTGCCTCAATCTAAAGACATCTCTAAGAATGCGAATACAGCCTACATTATCAGAAATCAGATATGCTTTGAAAATGAGGGCTGGCGGTACCCCCACTGGTCATTCTTGACATTTTTTTGTATGTGCAAGATTGTCATACAGGCTAACATCATAATGAAATAGTCAAATACGAGGTCCATGAAGCTTCTGATTCACTCCCCAAGCAGAGATTTACTATCCACAAAGCCTCACAGTAAGAAACATTCAGCCTATGTTGTATTACATTGAAGTGTTAGTAGTGCAGAGTCACTCAAATTGTAGAGCATGCAAAATTTGCAAAGGCTGTGAAGAAACTCCATTGGTATTCCAGGTCACATTTTTGCAATAAACAGAACTAGTCAGGCCGAAGATATACCCACCTGTATGGGTCATCAGTAAGCCTGTAAAAGGACACTTTACGTAGTTTAAAGTTTGAAAATTAAAGAAATGGATATTGTTAAAGAAAAAACCTTAAAGTCTCCCAGACTTAGCTCAAGAATTAATTTTGAATGTCTGCCATCAAATTAAAAATAGTAGCAAGAGGTAAGAGAATAAAAAGCTGTACACCAGCAAGACACCTGCACACTAGCAAGAAACCAGCTACAAGCCAGGAAACATAAGTTCTCCAAGAAACATAAGGGCTCATTTATTATTAAAAACACTGCATAAAAATACCTTTAAAATTAAACACAAGAATTAGAAAAGAAATATGAAAAAAAGCAATTACATCAGCTACTCTTTTGGAAGAAAGATTTTTAATTATAAGCCAAATACCTCTGTTGTCCCTATTTTAGCCCTTTCTGTTTCTAGAGAGTAATTATGTATGCCCTCAAGGATTGAGAAGGAGCTGGATTTGTGTGTGCATATGGATGGGTCACACTGTGGCTGGCATTCCACACAAACCTGCAAAGAAAGAAGCACTGCGGATGAGCCGGAGGGGACCTCCTTCAGACACACCCTGCAGCAGTTTGCTGCTACACAGCTGTAACACACCTAGGAAACAAAAGCAATGTAGAGAAAATGCAATGCAAAAAAAGTAAAAAAAAAAAAGAGATAAAGAAAGAAGGTGATGTACAGGAAAAAAAATCTGAACAAACAGATGGCCTCATATTGTCAAGAAGACATAGAACCTGGAAATATTTACCTAAATTACTTCCACTGCGACAGGTTCCCAAACCATTTTGATTCGAGCTCAGCTTTCCCAGGCTGGGGTCTTGGTTGATGTATTCAAAGCTATCTTGTAAGCTAAAAAAAGTGGAAAAGCCAGTTCCTTAAGAATGTGATTAATAGGCATTAATATTAGCTTCAGAATTAGGCTCATTTTATGGAAATAGAGGACTGAAGATTAACTTTACAGTCAGACTCAAGGACCAGTAGGTTTTCTGACACTGTAAAGAAATAGGCATTTATTTTCTACACAGGTTCCCTCTTTGAACTATTGTAAGTTCTGTATGCCACATTTGGGATTCAGTTTATTCAGATTTGCCCATTTTTGGGACAAGGAAAAAAAGGGAACAGATGAGAGAGTATCTCCTGTCACTGTTGAAGGAAACAGAGGTGAGGTACAGGGACACAAAGCTTTCTCAGCATACACCCCTTCTTCACCCTTCTGGCAGCAGGAAGGGACAGGCTTTGATTGACCAAAGCACCTAACCTCTGAAGTTTATTGCATGCCCTGGACAAATTAAGAAGCAGAAACCCCGAGAGATTCGATGGGCTCTATCAAGAAAATCCTTCTCCACAGATGCCACTTCTGATTTTCTGCTAGACTTTTCCACCCCGGCTAAGTCAAATTTAGAAGCAGCAACAGAAGGACTACAAAAAGGGAAAGAAGGAAAGACAACTGCATTGGATGCGGAAGAAAAAAATAAAGTGTTCTTACTTATTGTTGCTTCCACTGAAGCTTCCTACCCTGGCCGAGAAGACTTTACTTATCATCAGCTGTGGGGGAGAGCTGAAAGGATAAACAGTCATTTCAGTGAGTCATCAATTCCAAGCGCCTGACAAGAGAGTGCATCACAGAAAAGGACACTCACCGTATGTAGTGAATTTTCAAGGTGGAGCCTTTGTAACTCATTGCCACTGAGCCAAACATCATTTCTCCCAGCATGTTGACATCAGAGGCTGGTCTGGTGTACTACACAGACAAGAAGATGGGAAGAGCAAAGTCAATGGGAAGAACATAGTCAGTAAAAACTTGGCATACTATTTCAATTTAATACAGTGCCATAGTGCTACATTTTGAATGGAAAATGCAAATAAGTTCTTCTTGTCCATGCAGATCAAGATCCGGTGTGTTTTTAACACACTGAATGCAAGTACAGCTGGAATATGTACTCTGTTTTCCTCACTAGATGGACATTGTTACCCTTGTTCTAGTGGGACCTCCAAAGGCAAGAAAGAGGAAAAAAGATCTACAGTATTTCCAAAGCAATAGCTGTGTCCAGCAACAATCCCATATAACAGCATTTGATGAAACCTTTAGGTGTTCACAGGACTTGGATCTCCAAGCATTAAGCTGTCTTTCTTATTCAAACGAGTAAATTCTCCTTCCTTGCTGTTATAGAAAGCTTCCTGGAAACATTTCTGATTGTAAAATAACCTGTGAAGACTGTGTTTTTAAGTATAATCAGACTGATTTCTTATTTTGTTTCAAAGACTGTTCATCAATAGCAAATATGGAGAGAAGTTTGTTAATTCTGAAGGAAATCACCTCCTAATTAAATATAATTTTTTCTATCTTAATCTATACCTGCTTCAAATTACATTTTTCTAGATTAAATGTTTATGCTTTTACTGTGAAATAGCCAGAGTACCTAAAAAAACAGTTCTCTTAAAGATTTCATGTTATAGTAAGACAGACCAAAAGGACTTTTAATATACCATGTTCAACAGCTTCTTCAGAACTGACCTGAAGCATAGGTAGATATCTTTCAAAACAAGAAGAGAAAACGGTATAGTGCTTTTTCTGACCTTCAAAAATAATAATGCTATTAAATCTCTTTTGTAACTCTTTCAAGGACAAGACCAAGATAGACCAAAAGGTTAAGAAGTACCCACGTGTTCTTACTCTACAACAGTATAGAGATAGGGTAGGTATCTCAAGGTTCAGATTAACTTGTAATAGACTAGAAGTACAACTAGTCATTCAATGCATTTAAGTTAAGACTTGTATACACAAAATTATCCAGTAAAATGGATAAATACAAGCAGGAAAACATTACCTGATACTTCGGTATCTGTTCTTTGATGTTTTGCATACAGTTTATCGAGGGACTATGGGAAGAAACATTATTGTTCCCATTGCTTGCTTGGCAGTTCTTGACAGAAGTCTTTACAGCAGCTTCCTCTGCCATTTTCTGTGTCAAAACAGAGCAATATGATGCAAACAATTAAAGCAAACATGGGAACTCCCATCTGTAAACACAGCACAGTAAGATTTTTCTTAAACTACAGGTAAGCAACAGAAATAAAAGACTCTTGGTTCAAAAAAATTTGTATTAGTTTTTAAAGATTTTTATAAAGGTCAGCATCAGAGAAAGTGCAGAACTACTCTCACATTTATAACTTCAGACAAGTTGTCATAGTGTCGCACAGAGTAATTAGTCAAAGTTCCACTGGAAGATCATGCCCAATTGTTATGAATTGCTGTGTAACATTTGCCAAAGTTTATGTAAACAAAATCTCAGTTTGTGTGTCGCTTACAAGCGAATTTCTGTAATCATTTGCACAATCACTCCAATTGCATATAGATTTTGCTCCCCAACTGATTAACAGATTTCTTAAACAGAAGAACAGCGAGCAAAAAGAAGAGGTGAATAATGCACCATTCGGTAGAATTAACAGGTTATAAAATCTATTTTTACACCTGTAAAGTAGTTGTGTTTAAAAAAAAATTTCTTGTTTTCTTTAAGGACTGAGTTTTTTTTCCAATTTGAATGTACATTAGACGTCAGTTAAAAGAACCACATTATTTTGAACATACTTCTCACATGTGCTTAAAATGATTTGTATGAAGGGAGCAAAACTGTAACCCTGCAGCAATGAAAACTCCTTAGAAAGTCTTAGAAAGCTTATCTCACACTCCTAAACTTTTTATACATTAAGAAATTCAAAATCCCTTAATGAACATATATTTAATGCGTATTAATGTAAACATTCATTCTTTGGTGCACGTTGGAATGAAGTGTATTTTTGTAAGTCTCATTTGGACCAGCGTGGTTTACCTCATTGCGAAGGTGCATTAGCAGAGATTAAATTTTTTTAATATGTCAACAGGGTACATGTAGATATAGTTTACAGAAAAAAACAAGTAATCAGGCAAAAAGAAATAGTAATAACCTAGAAGCTAATAAAAGCATCCATAACCAAATTTACACCACATATTTTGGGCTCAGCAAGATGAGAAAGGAATGATAACAGGAAATTAAAGGGAAATAAAAGTAGAATCCAATATTCCACAAGACTGATTTTTAAGACGAACACTTTGAACAGTACAGTGCAGTAACTGTAGTAAGTTTTAGAATACTCAAGTCATGATGACAAGCTGATTAAAAAGACAAAATGAAAGATGAAGAAGAAAAAGAGGAAATGCAGAAGAAAAAGAGGAAGAGCAAGCCAAGAGGAGTGGAGTAGATGATCTGCCATTTTTTTTAAAACATTGAGTTTAAACTACAGCGATGGTACAGCTCCTTTACCAATTTAAAAATAAGCCCACTAGTAAGTTAAAAAAAGTAAAATCCTGGACTTCTAGATTTGGACTCCTTTTGTGCAGTTTTTTGTGGCATACTATTTATGTGCTATTGCTTGTCTAATCTCAATGTGACTGTCATTACGGGTTTAGAAATGTATCAGTGTGAGTGCTCGTGCGTTTAATGACCTACTGACTAAAAATGCCTAATAAAAATGGTCTGATACACGTCATCTGCAGAAAGAATTGGAGATTAGATTAAAAACACCAAAAAGAAATGCAGTATATTAAACAAACATGGTTAAATGGAACACAGACCTGCTACATCTCCCAGGTAAGTTTATTGCATACTTTAAAGGCAAACAATGTATTTGAATATTCAATGTGAAAAAGCTTTACTGTATTTCAGGAAAATGGATAAATGCACAGTATATACACACACACTTTCTTGACTTCAGTTTAAACAGGACTGATCTTGAGAGTAATTCTGCCTTAACTTTTAATGAATTAAGTTTTAGGCTCACTGTTTGATAACATATCAAACATCCAAGATCACTTCTAACATCTATGTGTTTCTATGCCATTCAAAGTGCTTTGACTGTTTTAAAAGGGCACCCAGATTAATGTCTGGCTAGAAAACAGATTACAGCCTGTATCATTTGTTCTGAGGGAGGTTATAATCTGTTTTATGTCAGTGTTGCATACAGTTTCTGATAGGACATTTTGTAGTTAGCTTTTAGTTTAAAGTATTCAAGCAAATGAAATAGTCCGAGTATTTAAACGAAGCCAGAAATACATTTCTTCCTCTCATGCTGTGTGTTTTAAACCCACTTTAAGACACAAAGCAACCATCTTCATTGGGGGGTAGGGAAGGAGCAAGATTAACAGACCAATCTGACCTATCTACCCTCTTAAGTAGATGATCAGTCATCAGCTGATGACGCTCATCAGTCTTACTGATTTAGCACAATGGTATATTTGCAGCGTGACAGAAATAGAGATTGCTGTTTTTCAGGCATCTTCATAAGCGATTTCTACAAGTCATAACTATTCATATCTAGCTAGTGATTCCACAATAAACCATGCTTGTCTGACAGGCTGAAGCTGCTGCTTGTAACAAAGGCTTCAAAATAAACAAAAAATTGAAATTATTCAAAATAGAAAAGAAACACAGAGCTGGGAGAAAAAAAAACCAAACTAAAACAACTTCAAACCTGAAAATACTATTGTTTTACTTGACTTCAAATCACCTAAGTTTGCTGGTAGCATTGCTCCACAATTTGTGTGCCTGAAGAGCACCACAAAAGAATTTGCACCTTGACAGCATCTACTCCTGCTTCTATGTGTGTCACCAAAACTTAGGTGGCCATATATTGCCATGTGTCACTCTTACACATTATGGCATGGTTACCCAAAGTGGAGTTGTTCTGATTCACATAAAGCCAACAACTTTACTAATCCAAACACCAAAGGAAGACAGGCACATTTATAGACATGCTAGACATCACTGGAACAATGGGACTGCACACCCAGGGCTAACAACAAAAAGCAATCCCAGTCAACATTAAAATGGCTAAGCAAATACGCAGTTGAAAGGGGTATAGATTGCTTTGCTTGAAAGCAAATCTGGTCTAAGTTGTAAAGTTTCAATACCATATTTATATTATAAATACCAAATATCAGATATGTGTTTGTAGGCTTTTTAGAATCTAACACATGCTTGTTGCAGCTATCACAGAATCAAGATCAAGTGAAAGATCACAATAAGATTAACAAGTTGACACTGTCATATTAAAATTCCTGCTTTTGGGAAGGGAAACAAAAGAGCAGTAGGACAAAAGCAAAATCAGCATTTCATACCTGAACCACAGCTTCGTCAATTTTGCGGACTGCTTTGGAATCAAATAAGACCTGTCTGCCTCTCCTCTCACAGTCTTGGTAAACTATCAGGCGGATTTCATTCAAGTCAAACTCTGAAGAGGACCAGCTGCAAATTATAAACACAAGATGTTAAAATAGTGTGCTTACTCTGCACACTCATTAAAGTGAAGAAAGAAGTATTCAGCAAATGAATCTTTTACTCGGCATTTACAAGAATCAGGCTGTAATCACAGAACACTGACCAAACACAAACTCAAATGAGCGTCTAAGCCCAGCATCACCGATACACAGGCAGGTACAGCTTGACCAATTTTCACCCAAACTTTCATCAACATTTTCAGGAAAGGGAACACAAAACTGTCTCAGCAATCTGCTCTGAGGCTTAACTACTCTTAACTTCACTTCCTTCTCTGTATACAGTCTGGAGCATCCTTACTGCAAGGTAGGTGTATTATTTTGTGCAATTCTCTCAGTGGCAATAAAGAACAACAGATTACCATCCTCTTTGTCACAGCCTTTCACAAGCTCAGGGCTTACACCCTCCCTTATCCTTTTCTCCTCTAAACAACACAAACCCAATTTCTTTTGAGCTATGCTTGTCAATGCAAGTTACGATTTTTCCAAAGTTTAATTCTCATAAATCAAAGAAAAGGTTTATCTTGCTCCATTATTTTTCCTCTTTCTTTTCTGAGATGTTTCAGGGTTTACAGAGCAATCATAGATTACCGAGACTTGATCTCCGACTACGATGAAACCCATTTAGTAGACAAAACCAAGATACCACTGAGACTCAACCTGAAGCAAAACAACTCTCTCAAGCCAGAATCTGCTTGTTCCTCAGAGACACACCATGGCACACAACTTGCCTCCCTGTGCTACCGCAGGAGGCTGAGGACCACAGCTGATCATGGCTGTGACAGCAAGAGACTTCACTTCCTAATTCCAAAGGGAGTCAGACTGCAGGTCAGAGCATGGAGGTTTGCTTGGCCTCAGGTTCAGCTACAGAAAATGCTTTTCGTGTTACTTAGCTGACAAGCTGGAATGAATGGAAAAAACCTACGTGGCATAAAGCAGTGCCACACAGCACAGGTGCTCAGTCATATTGCTTCATCCCTGACCTGGATGGACTGCTTCTAGGGGGTAAGAGTACAACTGTTATTAATAGTTGTTGGTTTAGCAAATTGTGTAACAGACTTCAGGCAAGGCCACACTGATCTCCCATCCTAAAGGATATTTCATTTCGGAATTTTCCCAAATGATGCCCTACAGAGAGGAAAGGTAGAAAATTGAGGGAAGGGCACAAAAACTCTCTACACCTGAAAGACAGTAATTTCAGTAGCTATTTCTTTTTTACCATGCTCTGTTAACAGCCATAAATCAACAGTGAGGTAAAGACCAACTCCTGCTAGAGTCAGTAAGGTAACCATGGGCAACTGCTTTAGGAGCACACTCAGAGACTTGCAAATTTAAAATCATTTTAAGTAAAGCCAGCTTAATTTTTGCTTTGTGCTTCATCTTGCATTTCAGAGATCAACTCCCCTTCCTATGGAGCTAGAAGGAAAAATAAGCCTAAATAGGCACCTTTTTCAAAGCTGAAAGACCTCATCAATCTGGAAGGTTTTATTCTATTTTTAAATACCTAGGGACAGAAAGAGGCAGATACCTGTCTCCACTGTAAGATACTCTGATACAAGCATACTCTGTGTACGTAATATGCAAAGGTCCAGTACACATCAAAGCCAGATCACGGAATGATGCTCAAGGCTGTTTTGCCATCAACAGTGAAGAAACTAGTTCATGTGTTTGTAACGTGTTTGTAACATGTTGTCTTCAAAACGTTAGGTTTGCTTGGCCTCAGGTTCAGCTACAGAAAATGCTTTTCGTGTTACTTAGCTGACAAGCTGGAATGAATGGAAAAAACCTACGTGGCATAAAGCAGTGCCACACAGCACAGGTGCTCAGTCATATTGCTTCATCCCTGACCTGGATGGACTGCTTCTAGGGGGTAAGAGTACAACTGTTATTAATAGTTGTTGGTTTAGCAAATTGTGTAACAGACTTCAGGCAAGGCCACACTGATCTCCCATCCTAAAGGATATTTCATTTCGGAATTTTCCCAAATGATGCCCTACAGAGAGGAAAGGTAGAAAACTGAGGGAAGGGCACAAAAACTCTCTACACCTGAAAGACAGTAATTTCAGTAGCTATTTCTTTTTTACCATGCTCTGTTAACAGCCATAAATCAACAGTGAGGTAAAGACCAACTCCTGCTAGAGTCAGTAAGGTAACCATGGGCAACTGCTTTAGGAGCACACTCAGAGACTTGCAAATTTAAAATCATTTTAAGTAAAGCCAGCTTAATTTTTGCTTTGTGCTTCATCTTGCATTTCAGAGATCAACTCCCCTTCCTATGGAGCTAGAAGGAAAAATAAGCCTAAATAGGCACCTTTTTCAAAGCTGAAAGACCTCATCAATCTGGAAGGTTTTATTCTATTTTTAAATACCTAGGGACAGAAAGAGGCAGATACCTGTCTCCACTGTAAGATACTCTGATACAAGCATACTCTGTGTACGTAATATGCAAAGGTCCAGTACACATCAAAGCCAGATCACGGAATGATGCTCAAGGCTGTTTTGCCATCAACAGTGAAGAAACTAGTTCATGTGTTTGTAACGTGTTTGTAACATGTTGTCTTCAAAACGTTAGGAGCGTCAGGCAGATTTCTTTTTCAAGTCTTCCCTTTCAAAGGGAGTCACAGCATTAAGCTAACCTGCATGAGATCAGACCTGATACCATTGTTGATAGTTGCCCAACAAAGATCCTACACACCTCACATGTACAGAGAGCTGCGACTACACCATCTGTTTTAAAAGTCTGTTACTAGTTTCTCAGCCCGCTGCCTGTGCAATGCTATTATAAAATCCAGTTATACAGAACACAAGAGAACTCAGAGCCGTCAACAGACTTCATTCTAGCCTGCTGCATGAATCTGATGCTCTTCGGTACTAGATACTCTCACACCTTTTCAGTTACACAGTTACCTATTTACTTACACAGTTTCTGCAACAGACAATATCTGAAGAAACTATACTGATTTCTTCAAACGGCCACAGGTCTTCCCTCCTTTTAACAACAAAATGGTACACCTCTCTGGCCTTAATTTAAATTGTATGCAAGTGCAAAGCCATATTTATCTCCAAGACTGGCATAGCAGGACCTGTAGTTTGGACCACAGGACTGCAAGTCTAAACTGAGAAAGATTCATTTCAGGCATGGACTAAGCCAATCCAGCCATGCTTCTACCCACCAGTGCTGAAAACATGCTCGATAACTGGGTTGGCAGGAAGTTAGGTTTCCTTATGAACAGGTGAGCTCCCACATTCTGCACTAAAGCAAACTTCATGTTGTTTGTGTGGTGCCAACTTCTGTATAAGACCTGAACTGAGTTTTCTAACAAATGCTGAAGTAGAAGCCAACTCAGCAGCCTTTTCCACACAGCACGCTAGAATTAAAGAATGCTGCAACCTGTCAGAACTTCAGATTCTAGTACCAGACAGAAACAAGCTAAGAAGTTACATAAAATGCAGCATACAGAGCATTATGTGACTAACAGACCAAATCTAGGGAAGTGACTTCAGGTAACGCTTCTTACAGTACTTACCAAATATCAAACTTCTGTTTTAACGAAGCCTTTGCTATCAGGCTTTTTATTACCCAGAACACAGATGCAGTTACTGCAGCAGTCCTACCCATTACAGAAGAGATCCATCCTACTAAAACCTCATTTGGTAAGATCAAGCACGTCTATAGGCAAATTATAAAGGCATATAAATGATGGTCGCATTACTTCCACGTGGAATCTAGCACCAGCCCCAAGACTAGTCAGATGACTGGGATGTTTTTCCCCGTCACAAAAGCTGATGAGCAGACTGCTCACAGCACTTCCACTCTTTGTTTGAGCCAGCTTATATAACATACAGCGCCCAAAACAGGGACAGCACGACTATTCAGTCATCTCCTAAAAGCAGTGTTGAACAATACAGACCGTACATAGACTCCGTCTTCATATGCATAAAAACCAAAACCCCAAACTCTTTCTTACTTGTCTCCGCATCAGCTTCTTGATTATTTAGCCATGCTGAAAGGCATGTGCTTCTTTTGTTTCATCTTCACATATAGTTTTTTTAAAAAGAGATAAGATTCTCTTGCATAAAATACCAGTTCATGAGAAAAAAAAAATCCACCACACTATTGCATTGTACATCTTAATATATCTTTAGATGTTAAAAAGTAACAGCTTAAGGCTTTGACTAAGAAAAAAAACCCCAAAACTCCTTTCACTCTTCCATCAGTTGTTTCTAAAAAGTAAGACCAAAATATCTGAAAGAGACAACAGAAATATTTTAGCCCTTTTTTTCTTAAAGAAAAAAGGCTCCTAAGTTCACAAGCAACCTATATGCGTACAGGTTCACCTTGCCCAATTATTTGTTAATTCACTAATCAATTTCAACCACT